AATGGCAGCGAGCCCAAGACCCCCAGTACGTACAGTGAGAGAATACTAGGGAATGTTCAAAGCACTGTTATTCGCTGGAAGGCCGAGTAGTGGTGGAAGGCCTACGCCAATGGCGACGTCGTACCCATTCAATTCAATTCAATTTATTCATCATCATCAAGCGTGAACATGGAAAAGTGCATGGGTACAGATTCACTGGGAGGTCCCAAGGTAAGAACCGCAGGCGGGACCTCCCATGATGGAAAAAAAAAGAAGGTAATCATCAAGCAACACTAAAATACATTGTCAGCAAATAAACACAGCATAAAAAGAGAAAGATGAATAAAAAACAAAAGAAAACAAAAAACCAATAGAATAATAAGCAGGAACACTAAAAAACAAGGAATACATCGTCAATCTATTAAAAAAAATGTGAATATGAATACCACAACAAAAAAAGACATGATAATACAGTTACAATTCAATCAAACAGAAGGGCCTAACAAGAAAGTCTTTAGTTTGGATTTAAAAACGCAAAGTGATTTAGAAGATTTAACATCAGAGGTTAGTGAATTCCAGAGCGAAATGGCCGAAAATAGAATCGTTTGTTTGCCGTAGTTAGTGTGTATACACGTAAGTAAGAGATTCTGGCGTGAGGCAAAGCACGTTGAATTGAGATTATTAGTGATGCAATGAGGGAGAATATCTAAGACAAGGTGATCGTGCAAAACGTTAAAAAATAAAGTACCAATGCTGTACCTAAACAGATGATGAAGGGGCAAAACACGGAGCTGATAGAACAGCGGGGAAGATTTTGCTTGTCGATGAGAAAATGTAATGATGCGTAACGCTTGTTTCTGCAGTGTTATTAATGGGGCGATGTGGGTATGATACGTACCACCCCAGGAAGAAATGCCGTAATTTAGGTGACTGTGGACAAAAGCGTAATACAAAGTTAGGAGAGTTTGCAAGTTGAAGTATGGTCTAGCTCTAATCAAAACTCTTATGCCGAACATAACTTTCTTTGAAATGAAGATTACGTGCTCATGAAATTTAAGGTGAGAATCGACTATTACGCCAAGAAAATTAGTGCTACGACGAAATAAACAGGGAAGGGAACTCGGAAATTTTTCTTTGCGGGGAACTAAAAAGCAGAAAGCAAGTTTTAAGAACGTTAATAGATAACTTGTTGAAGAGACACCATCGCTCGAGGGAAAATAGGTCAGCTTGGAGCATTTGCGTTAAGGTACACATGTTTCGGTGGGAGTTAAAGATGGTAGTGTCGTCAGCATATAGTACGCATTGTGAAGAGGTTAAACAGCGAGGAAGGTCATTAATGTAAATTAAAAAAAGAAGTGGGCCCAAGATTGAGCCTTGTGGAACGCCTCTGTTAACTGTGACCGGGGGTGATGTTGCTGTGGAAACAGAAACTATTTGTTGCCTGTTTGAAAGAAAGTTAGAGCAGGACCCGTAATGCCATAACGCTCCAGTTTAGTGAAAAGAATGTCATGGTCAATGGTGTCAAATGCTTTTGAAAAATCTATGAAAACAGCAGCAGCAACGTCACCGCGATCAATGAAAGACTTAATTTTATCTGTTAGACATGCAGTCGCAATATTAGTTGATAGGGCAGCACGAAAACCAAACTGAGAGGGGGTGAGTAAGTTGAATTTTTCAAGGTAGCGGGAAAGACGGGTCTTAATAAGTTTTTCTAGAACCTTATCTAGGAAGGAAAGAATAGAAATGGGTCGATAATTATCCATAAAGCACGCGTCACCTTTTTTGAGTACAGGAACATTTTTTGCTATTTTCAAGGACTGTGGAAATAATTCGGTTTTAAAAATTAAGTTGAATATATAGCAAAGTAGTGGCGCAACAAGTCGACGTACAAGTTTCAAATGGAACCCATGAATACCATCTAAGCCAGGCCCGGTAGTCTTTAATCCTGCAATGGTAGCTTCGATTTCGTCGGAACAAGTAGGAAATAGAAAAAACGATTGGGGGCAACGCAAAAGGTCAGAATAATAAGGGCACGAGGGAAGTTGTGAACATACACCCGAAAAATGATTGCTAAATGCATTAGCAATGTCTGCAGGTTCAGTAAATGATGAGTCGCCCTGAACAATGGATTTGATGGGCTAGTGCTGAGTAGCGTTATTCAGAAATTGCTTAACTAACTTCCATTTTTTCTTTATGTTGTTACCGCACCTATTGAATTCATTGTCGTAGTAGCGGCGCTTGGCGGCTTTAAGGAGCGAGCACAGAACTTGAGAGTAGCGTTTATAACCTGCTCGGAGATTAGAATTTAAAGGTTTGCGCTTCATCTTTTTGTATAGATTATCTTTTTTACGCAAGGCAAGAAGAAGGGAATTTGAAAACCAAGGGCACCGAGGGGCAGTGTAACGCCTATTGGAAGTTATTATTGTAGTACAGTCACCGACAGCATTGATCATTGCATCAGAAAATTGCTGTAAAGCGATATCAGGATTCGAGACATTGGATATGCTGGACCAGTCTATTTCTGATACAAGGTTTAAGAATTTTTCACGATCAAATATAGAATGCTTGAAGGTTTCAGTTTTGTTTTTTTCCTGCTTGTGCAAGTAAAAAAACACGGGGAAGTGATCGGTAATATCGCAGTCGATAGTGCCAGCTTCTATTGCGGAATCATGATTAGAAAAAATATGGTCAAGGAGGGAATGGGAAGAATGATCTACAACACGTGTAGGCGTATTTATCAGTGACTCATAACCGTAGCTACAAAAGGCACTAGTGTAGATCGAGGTGATAGGATTCGCAGAATCAAGAAGATTGATGTTAAAGTCACCCATGATGAACACATTTTTGTTTTCGAAAGACAACTTATCAAGCACAAGAAAAAGTGCATCGCAGAAATCAGCTGCATTAGATGAAGGAGAGCGGTAAACGGAGCCAAAGACTGTCCTAATAACATTTGAAGAATCAATTGAATTGAGTTCAACCCAGACAGATTCGCATTTGGGAACATTTATGCTTAGATATTTACGTCGACAATACGAAAGCTGGTTTGAAACGAAAATGGCAGAGCCCCCGTAAGGGCTACCACTACGATGATCGTATTCGCAACCATAGTCGGCAAAGCCATACATATCGCGATCTTCACAAGTAAGCCAGGTTTCGGAGAAGCAGATGATGGAGAAATGATGGTTCAAAGTATGAAGTAGTGTGGAAATCTTGTAACGGTTCTTTTTAAGGCTACGAGCATTGAAATGTATTGCGCTGAAAACATTCGCGTTACCTAAACATTTAGCCACCTGTGCTGGTGAAGCACAATTCATTACAGAAGAAGAGAGAAAGCTACAAAGCCAAGGAAAGTAGCCTACTCTTCAAAGTAGCCTACTCTTATGTTTATGAATGTAAGCCGTTTTACTCTAACCTCCCTGCACTGAGAATCAACGTATAAACAACTTTGCATCGCCTAGCCAAGCAAAGACATGGAAGCAGCCTATGAAGAACCTGCATCACCAAGCTAAGGGCTAGACGCCACCTAAAAGCAACCACTTTCAGAAACGCGCAGTTTCGGTGTGCTAATGGGTTGCGCAGCTCAGTGAATGGCTTCTCGAAAATGCGCACGGAGCTCCTTCTAACTTCGCGCTAGAATGAATCAAAAGTTCTTAATCTCATGATGCACATTGAATAATGTCTTTTTACGTGGTGTGCTGCAATGCCCCACTGTACACTGAATCGTAGGATGAGATAGAGAAGAGTACGTTTAGCGAATGTTCTTTGAGTTAAAGAAAGCACGGACCTGAGGTTCAGTTGTACCTCTCATTGATAGTAATACTCTTACAGAAGTGCCAACCGACATGTTTGCGATGACCGTGTGTAGAATCGCAGCAATGTGAAATATAGTGCCGGTGCACTTTGTGGAGAGCTTTAGTGCCGGGACACCCTGCAGAGGTTTGAGTATCCAGGCTTTTGAATTCCTTTGTGATATGTTTGGGGAATGGGCTGGCTGGCGTAAGAAAGCTTGTAAATTACAAAACAAAGACGCGGCAGTCATACCCAACGACTCTGCATTCCGGGCACCCAAAAACTCTTCATTAGCGACGCTCCATTGCGGTGGCGTGGACATCAGCAGCTGTTAGCAATTTCATATTGCTGCCGTTTAGGTGCAGTGAGTCAATGACTGATAGTTACATCGTGACCTTCGAGTCTGCGTGCATTTAGAGCGAGTTGTGTCGTTTTGTCTCTCTTTCGCTTGAGCCCGCTCTCGGCCTTTCTAGAACAGGCAGTATAAAGCAGTGATAAGCGGGGCGTGCGGGCAGATGCCCGACACGTCATAAACTTTGAGCAGGTCGACAAGAGATCAGCCTCGTCTAACCGGTAGCCTCCTCTGCAGAGACCCGGGCTCTTGGTTCCTGTCAAGGAAGATTTAGAGAGGCAAGTAGCATACCTTTCATGCGAACTGACATTCCTGTATCCATTTAGGTTATGCGTTTTCAGCGTAAACAAAGTTCTAGTTCAGTAAGAACAAGTCAACCTTACAGATGGAGCAAGTGTCATAAATGTAGCGAAGGAGCTCCTTGAAAGATGCGTTAATTTAATTATCACTTAATCATTAGACAGTCTGATTTTCCTTCTTTTTTTACAGGCTTTTCAGGGCGTCATTTGCGAATATTATCGTGCGCACAGTCACAGTCGACCATCTGTTTATTAGTGTAGCTTTTATGTGAACGCAGAGGCTTTATTTTTTGTAATCACAACAGCTATTGTACTACGCCACCAATCGCACATGAAGAGTTAGAGCATAGGAAATTCAAAAGCTCTTGACAAAAGCGTATAGAGCCCCTCACGCGGCTGAAACTTATTGAACAAAATAGGTGCATAGTAAATACATTATTATTTACTCCCGCCAAATGAAGTCAGTCTGTGCTAATTCATAATTTTATATAGTTCGCAATGGCCTACTGTCTGTATGCAAGCTGACTACATGAAAACTTCGGCATGTTACAGGCACCAGCGTTATTCTTCTCGATGCCATGCCCATCATCAAAACAATGTGGCTGCGATGGAGATTCATATCGATATTTGCAACGCCCATATTCTTAGTTCCACTGGGATTTTTCATCGGAGGAAAGGTGCGTATTTGAGATGTGACTTCAAAACACGATGATTATTAATTGGTATATTTGCGCAATCGTTTTGCTCCATGAGCCCTCGACAGCAAGTCACAAGGCAAGTGGCTACGCGGTCAGAGGGGACGTGGGATGTTTTCACTTCCTTAATATGCAGCAACTAGACTTGCGTGATAGCGCTAACCAGCACCTCTGTCTTTTTCGATGAACGACTACATTCTATTCTATCTATCTATCTATCTATCTATCTATCTATCTATCTATCTATCTATCTATCTATCTATCTATCTATCTATCTATCTATCTATCTATCTATCTATCTATCTATCTATCTATCTATCTATCTATCTATCTATCTATCTATCTATCTATCTATCTATCTATCTATCTATCTATCTATCTATCTATCTATCTATCTATCTATCTATCGTTCTTGCGAGGTACAGTCATTGTGTGATCAGATCCCACCATTTCAGTGTCCGTCTTTGGGTCAACTACTCAAGAACATAACAAGAATACAAGGGAAAAAAAACTTTTTCTCGCTCTTTGAGTCAACTCAGGCATATCGTTTTAAAGCTAACAGTCTTTTCATGAAATATCGGGATCTGATTTGTGGTAACCTTTATTGGTTTACGCCTTACGTCACACCAGAGGTAGCATCTAGCTGCTACATTGCCTCATCAGCAGTCAAGAACTTTCACGTTGGCTCCCAGCTCATCTGTGTTTCTTAGAATCACACACGGGAGGGTAAGCTGTAGTTTACTGTCTCCTTCATTCAGCCAACTGTCTGAAGCATGTAACGTAGGCCTTTGCAATATGAACTACGCCCCGCATCCTTGCTTCAGATTTTAGTAATCACTCATTGTTTTGATTGGTCTAGCAAAATCTTTGCTATTTTAACCCTCGTTAGCGTGCCCAGATGTCTCTTTGGTTATGGTTACACAAATATAAGAAGCCCAGCAACAAGACGCACAAAAACATCTTAACAAAGCATTACCAAGGCAGAAGCGTTCATCGGCTAGATAAATGTGAATGGTGGCACAATTGAACGCACCGGCAAAGTCATAGTCTTGAGGAGCCAGAGATTTCATACTTATGTGTTACTAGAAATTTTAGCACAGAGTTTCTGACATGGAGATAGGTGCGAAAAATTGTTTAGTGCCAACGTCGGTATGAGCGAGAAAAACATGAACGTGCGTAACAATTCACAAAAGGTTTTACCTCTACACCCTTGAACTTGTTCTAAAAAGAGCTTGGCGTTACCGCTCGACAATGCCTGCGAAGGTTTTCCAGTCCTTTTGGCAAGATTAAAACACTCTGTAGTTCAAATGCGGCCCTTCTTGTGTACTTTTGTTTCTCTTTATTCTTTTTCAAGGTAGGATGGTGTGCGTTCGTGGTCATCTGGTTGGCCATCTATTGGGTGACTGAAGTTATCCCTCTGGCAATCACATCACTCATGCCTCTTGTGCTGTTTCCTCTGCTCGGTATTCTTTCATCCCAGCGAGTCGCGTCATTTTATTTAAACGTAAGTACTACTACATTTAGCTATAATCAAAAAAGTACCCCTTTTTCTTAGCGCGTTTACGCGGGGGAGCAGACATCCACGTCAACGCTCAGTAGCCTTCCCCCTCTCAAACCTCTGTTCCTTCTCTCTCTCTCTGTTCCTCTATCTTGCTTGTTTTGTCAAGATCGAAGTATACATTATTACTTTGTTTTTCTTGTAAATCTTAGGTTGACTTTTTGCTACAAGTGTTTCCTTTTAGACTGCGTGCTGCTTATCCAGTTCGCTTTGCAAATCTTATGGTAAATTCAAGCATTTGATAGCCAACGCCAGAAGACATGCCGATTGTACTTACTCCCGTAACATGTTAGAACAAACTGCCTTTGTCCTATATACATAGTACCTTGACCACTCAACCTAATAAACCACGAATGCTCATTGTTCGTGTGACGCAAAATATCCCGTTAAAGACTCATTTGTACAAACAAGTAAAAGGCTGCTCTGCCATCAGAAGTCGCAACGACAGGGATAAGCGACGAACCTTCCAGAGATCCAACTAAGTCAGACTAAGTCAGGCTTAGTCTGTCAGTCCAAACGAGAGAGGAGCCCACCGCGCGGTAGTCGCGCCCCTCAGGACTATTGATAACCTAACAACTTATTTATTTGCATGTTAGAATAGGTTCTTTATTTCGCTCTTGTCCGTATTAACTTTGCTAAGTCTGTGAGTAGTAGCAAAGTGAACTATTACAAGATTAGTAGCCACTTGCTTCTGTAGTACTTCATATTTGCGCTTTTCTTGTGTACACGTATGGTAAACAAATTTTTGTGTTGCCAATTTTCAAAAAGTCTGTGGGTTGAAAAGCTGTGCATTCTGTCATTCCCGTACTCTTCCTCAGAAACAATACAAACATTGATTGATTGGTATTGAGAATAATGCTTTCTGCAGCATATCAAGCATTTCTCAAGTGCTTTTATTCTCTTTTGTTCTTTTAATTCGTTATCACTACTCCTAACTGCCAGAATAGTCTTCATGTGGTTGCAAGAGACAACTCGCTTACTGATATTGAACAAAAAAAGACAAGGAAATGCTGCTGCCGAACGCACTTTCAACTAGAGTTCAACTCTAACTAAATCCCACGAATGACGCATCCATTTATGCAGGACATCGGACTCATCTTGGTGTGTGCAATGATGGTGGGAGTTGCAGTAGAAACGAGCAACTTGCACAAAAGGATTGCGCTCAAGTCCATACTTGCAGTGGGAACAAGTAACCGCAGGTGCAAACGTTTTTTCTCTGTAAGTTGCATGCACAGATGATTCCCACATCATCCCATCCTGGGGCGGGTAATTCTCATCCGTCAGATGGCGTCATATGTGTCCACTATGCTTCCAGTAGGCGAATGTAGTGCATTCATGCAAAATTATGGTTAACGTATGTTCTGGTGTGGTCAAAGTGCACGAATAATCGGGCTGCATTATTGTCATTTTGTGCACTACGCTATCTCGTACTCAAGATACAAGAAATTGTTGATGATAGATGCAGCCACACTCGGTCCTCTTCAGAAAGGATTGTGAGTGTGCAGGTTCTGCTAAGGATTCCACATAATTAGTTGTTTTTATTTTAGTGTGGCCTCAGCCAAATGCCTTTGTTTCTCCTGTGTATTTCCTGTTTATTGTGTCTTACTTCATGGAAAGTGAAGAAAATTTATTGAGATTTTTCTTTTTAACTTTTATTTAGGCTCTTGCTGGGGTTGATGCTGGTGGCAATGTTCCTGTCAATGTGGACCCCCAACATTTCCACAGCATCTATCATGATTCCCATCGCCATGGCTGTTGTCGACCAGATAAAGGAGAGCTCGACGACAAAGTGTGAGTGGTATAACCTCTGCCACATGTAAAATTTGCCAAAAATGAAATGATTTATTCTGAATGACCTTTATTCTGTGTCTGGCGTGCCTAATGATGTCACTGCAAAAACTGTTTCCATTGATGTGAAAATACCAAGACGTAGGTCGTCAAAACTCTTTCACTAGGCCCATGTGCCCTATATACCATAAGTGCGTATGTGCCACAAGTGTGCACCAATGCGCTACAGGTGATTGACAGTTTATACTATACCCAGGAACGGTGAAAACAGACATTGAAATTTCTAACGCGAGAGCATTTTCAAGAAGCTGGCATTGGCAGCATTTACCCGACGAATGCAAAGAATCAATGACATGGTCCAGCAGGTATCGGCTGATTGAATGATATGTGGGATTTAACGTCCCAAAACTACCATATGTATATGAGAGACGCGGTAGTTGAGGGCTCCGGAAATTTCGCCCACCTGGGGTTCTTTAACGTGCACCCAAATCTGAGCACACGGGCCTACAACATTTCCGCCTCCATCGGAAATTCTGCCGCCACAGCCGGCATTCGAACCCGTGACCTGCGGGTGAGCAGCGGAATACCTTAGCCACTAGACCACCACGGCGGGGCCAGCAGGTATCGAATTCAAGGATTCTGCATAGCAATCTAGCAGAGAGCCATGCCTTGTATCGAAACTGCTCTATAAATATGCCGTGTTGTTCATAAAATGTGAATTGTGGTTGCAATGCTCTATACCCAACTTCATAAAACTTACATATGTGCTCCTAGGACGCAGCCATCACGTCGGGTTAATGTTAACTGTGGTTGGGTGCCCTTCACTGATATTGATATGCGAAGCAGTGTCGACGGCTACCATCCTCGTAAGCACAAGCGCTACGTATCAACTTGCCGCTTCTGATGTTGCTAATACCCATGTTGATGTTAGCATGCTTACGCAACTGTAAACAATTGGTTATATAAAACAAATATGAAAGATTCAACACTTGTACGTATCTTTAACGTCATTTCGTAAGGTTTCGCTCGATAAAATCGTTACAGCACAGTCACCTTCCCTCCGCATACTTCACATTACATGGATTCCCGAAGTATGTGAGATCTGAGGAAGTTTTCTTTACATCCATTTGCACTCGCACAAACGGGTAAAACAGAATTATTTTGCAATACACAACAAACAAGGGCATATCCGCCACAAATCACTACGTTATCCTTAGAACTGGGATTGATTTACTGTGATTCAGGTAGAGGAACAGCCAAATAGTTCTTTAAAGACGATAGCGTTTCTTGGGGACCTTCGACTGAAAAATTGTCGTCTGTCTGTCTCTTTGTTTGTACATTTGTCTGTTTGTCCGCCCTTAGCGATACCTCAAACGTCACCAAACGGCCAACCCAATCCGCAGCCCCCACCAATATTGCTCAAGATTTTGCGTTCATAGTTGTGCGATTGTCAATTAAAAAGCAATTATTGCGCATATCCGAGGCGCCATAACATCACGCCTATGTTTTGTATGTCTGCCTTTATACTAGAAGAGGCACACACAAGTAACTCAAAGGACTGTAGCGTTTATCGCGCTGCGCTGACAGCGCAACGCGATGCTCGAAAAGGTAAGTGTTTCCTACGCTTTGCTACGATGACACGGTGGTGGAACCTGCCCGTCGCTTTGCGTTCTACACTTTATCACCTACGAGATTGGTGCGCATCTTTCTCCGCGGGCGCGGACGCCTTAGTTTTCGAAGATAACTGCCAGATGAAGCTCGTGTTTAACGTGCCTGCTTTGTGTCACGGCCTGCTAGCTCAGTCGGTTAGAGCATCATGCTAACAACCCGAAGGTCGTAGGTTCGATCCTTAAGCCGGTCACTTTCTTTTGCCAAACAAGGACAGCGCATTGAACAGTCATTACCTGAATTGATGTATGCAGATGATAGAAGTATTAATAGCCGACAACAACGAAGATCTGCAGGGATTGATAGACATTTGTGGTAATGAAAGAGACAGGTCAAGGTTTGAAGTTCAGCAAGAAAAAATCGGCAATCATGATTTTTAATTATAACAAAGGCAGTGAGTATAACATACAGCAAGTCACGCTATAAATAGTAGATAAATACAAATACTTGGGCGTATCGATAAATAATGGGGCTTAGTATCTAAGGGAGCACGAAAGATACTTAATGACTAAGGGATGCAGAAACGCAGCTGTAATAAAAAACAGGGCACTGTGGAACTACAATAGGTAGGACGTTGGGAGAGTGATTTGGAAAGGTGTCTTTGTTATGGGCTTGACGTTCGGCAATGTGGTCTTGTGCATGAAATCAGAAGTTCAAGCAAGATTGGAAATTAAACAACGTGGCAACAGTATACTCGCTTTGGGAGCACACAGGAATACCCCAAATTAGGGGCTACAAGGAGACATGGGATCGACATCATTTGAGTGCAGGGAAGCTAACAGCGAGATTGAATTTGAGGAGTGATTGAGAAAATGGGAGAGGAGCGTTGGGCTAGGAAATTGATTGATTGATTTGTGGGGTTTAACGTCCCAAAACCACCATTTGATTATGAGACACGCCGTAGTGGAGGGCTCCAGAAATTTTGACCACCTGGGGTTCTTTAACGTGCACCCAAATCTGAGTACACGGGCCTACAACATTTCCGCCTCCATCGGAAATGCAGCCGCCGCAGCCGGGAATCGAGCCCGCGACCTGCGGGTCAGCAGCCGAGTACCTTAGCCACTTGACCACCGCGGCGGGGCGTTGGGCTAGGAAAGTTTTCAGTTACTTGTACATGAAGAATGTTGTTACTAAATGAAGGAAGTGAACTCGAAAATTTTCAAGCCAGTATTTAAACGACAGCAGAATACCAAGCCAAAAGAAAATATCGGTTAAGAAGAAGGGGAAGGAAACAGAGAGGAACATGTGGAAAATTGGAATGCTTACGAAATCATTACTGGAGATTTAACGAACATTTAAGCAGTAAATTGCAAAGGAAAAGATCTACGATCGTTCTCGGGGTAGTTCTCTGCTCTTTGAGGCTAGAACCGAACAAAATACGAAGGCACAGACATGGTGTGTAGTGCTTGTGGAGGGGAGGAAACGTCTGAACATTTGATATTGTTCTGTAAAGAGCTCCACCCCATTGTCGAATGTAATGTTGCCAAATTTTTCAAAGCATTTGGGTTTAGGGGCAGTGAAGATAAAATAGTCTTTAAACGGGTAGAAATAACCAGGAGGAGGCTAACTGATTTGTGGCTACAATCGAGGCGCGAGTGAAATTCATTTCTTAAACACACAAAGATAGTGCTTAACTTTATGGCTATGTGGCGAGAGCCACCGCCTGATCTAAAGGGCACAGCCGTATACATCCACCCATCCATCCTCGAATCACTCGTTCGCCTCCGCTACACGCTCGAGGCACTCTAACGCTGCGCCTCCAGCATACCTTTCACCGATTTTCTTGCACAGAACATCAAATAAACGTTTTGTTCACTCTCTCCAGACGCAAGAATATCGTCTTTAGACGACATTTGCAGTGCAACATGCAGATTCGGGTCAATATTTAAGAGCGCATGGCTAAGGTAAAAACTGTGCTTACTAAAATTGTGAGTGCACATATCTCTCACGCAAGAATGCCTGAGAGCAGTGTATATGAGCGAGTAACTTTACACGCCAAAATCACAATGTGATTATGAGGCACGCATTATTTGGAGCGCTCGAAGTCATGTAAACAATCCAGGATGTTTTAACGAACCACCAGGCATTATACGTACAACATTCACGGATTGAAACAACAGTGTGGGCACGGCTTGTATCAGAAGTATTGGGATACACTTGTACTTTGTAATGACTACATTTATCGCTAGGAATGACAATCCAATGTCACCTTAGTATATAATGGTCGGCTACATATAAGCTTACCGCTTCTAATAGCACGCTGCTGTTGGCATAATAACGCAACAGTAAACATGTCTTTGTTTAACATATGTCTGTGCTAACAACATTTGTATATAGCTTTAGTGTATATTCTTAATGTTTCCCTGAATAAAAACACAACACAGTCACCTTTCCTCCGCATGCTTTGCATAACATCGATTCCCAAAGTACACGGGCTCCGTCCAATTTTTAAAATAAATGGTTAGGGTTTGTGTATTTTACCAGTTCCTTGTGGCCTCTGTGTAGCTACAATTGTAATTACTACATATTTGCTTCACGACGTAACTTATTCGCTGTCATGTACTCTTTCTACTGCTACTACTGAGAAGCATTCCCCGATTTTCTTTATCGCTTGTATTTGAATAAAGCAACTATGAGTTCTGTCTTGTTAAACACGGCATTTGAGTTTCCTTAAATATTTCGCCTACATTGAAGTCACCTTCAATAAAATAATTTGTTTCTATCTTCATTTTCAAGGTGTTGCCGTACATGTCCAAGGTTCTGATGAAAAACGGCAACTCGAGCACCGCGAAAGCACGGCTTCAACTGTGCAGGAAAATATTGCACCCAGGTAATACTACTTTTATTTCAATTTTTAAACCCGAAATTGTTTTTAGCTAGAGTCCACTACGGCTCTGCTAACGTATTTCCTTCACCAATATGATGTTGTAAAATATATACCAACAGGTTGCAAATAAAGGTGTTGTCACAGAACGAGCGCTCAAAAAAGGGCGCGCCGCCAAATTCTCGCGACGAAACGCCGGAGTGACGCCGCGAGGTCAAAAGAAAAAAAAAGAAAACATGCTCCCCGGGCACGCTCCTTCTCCCCTCGGAAGCGTGGGCTCGCCGACGAAACCCCTCACCCCACAACAGCGGCCGAGCAAGCACTCGAATGTTCTAGATGGAAAGGGGCGGGGTCATGCCGGGTTGAGTCATCCGTCGCGGACGGCATTCGAACCGTCTCGCCCTCTCCCCAGCCTTCGCTGCGCATCGCGCCGACGAAATGATGAGAACTTTCTGGAATCGCGCGCGGAAGGTATTTAACCGAGCAGCGGAGATGAGAGATCAGGAGGAGAAGACGGAAGTTAGCGCCAGAGCGCGTAGGGATTCCGCCGTGTAGTCGGCGAAGGTTTTGTCCGTAGAGACAATGCAGGAGAAGAAGATGATTTCCACCTGAGGGGTGACGACTCGCGCTACAGGCAAGAGTGTGTATTTACCGCTATCGAGCGAAGACGCGTAGCAACAGCTGCGTGTGTGAAGCCGACGTGTTTCCGGCGAAGAAGTTTGAAGCTTGGAGAGTGACGCGAGGTTTCCTGGAAGAGAAACTTCGGCGAGGTTTCCTGGAAGAAAAACTTCGGGGGCAGCGGAAGTACAACAACGCTGGACTTTGAGTGAGTGATTCTCAGAAGAGTATCATCCGGACTTTTGTTCCAAGAACTTTGGACTGAGTAGGTTTTCTATCTCTTTAGTCTTTAAGTGTCTTGGTTGTTCGATGCATGCGACTGCATTGTAGTGCGTATTGTTGTCTGTGTCCGTTGTTTCGAGTGTGGCTGATTGTACTGTGTAGTACGTTGTTTGATTGGTGACATATTGTATGCAACTATTGTGGAGTGTGCATTCTTGTGTATTGTTTTCGATCTGCCATTATTGAGAATATAATTTTGTTTTGTTGATCGACTCTCGGCTCTGACTTGTTCTTTGGGCCACAGCCGGCGTCCGCTGGCGCGCCAAAAAGGACCACTTGTAAACTGTCCACGCTTTCGTGGTGCGGTTCGGGGGGGGGGCGATACTTCGGCCCTTGGAATTAGCCCAGCGATTGCCTCCCGAATTAACGGGACCTGGGACAGGTGTAAAAATAGGTTCTGTAGTGTGGCATTGAACCAGAAATTTGTCGTTTCTCAGCGCGTGGCGCAAACCACTACTTCTCTAGGCGTACATAGTGAACGGCGGGCCGTTCATATACATTATATGCCGTTGGAGGTCTTCAGAGCTCAGCTACTTGAGCGCGTTTTCATCATCAGTGGCTAGATGGCTCGCGATCTCGCTACGTCGTCACACTGAGCCTGCCGCGCGTTGCGATGCGCGCGCGCCTCCACATGGCGTGGTCAACGTCACTCACTCGCGCGCTCTTATCTCGAGACTTCGGTGCTGTGTAGCTCTTGTGCTTTCAAAGCAAATTTGATCTGAAGCTACAATGGTTGTTGAAGAGATCACGAAGGTCACTCCACTCGCTGCCGAGGCCGTGTTTACGAAAGAAGCGCCCTGCTCACACACGAAGAAGTGAGTGTTCTGACAGTTCTTCGAGATCATTCTTTGTATACTTGTGCGCACGTTTCGTGCGTTTTACTTTCTGTTTGAGCAGCGTGCTTTAAGTGTCAAGCTGTGACAATCGTTTGTCCGCGCTCATCCGGGCTAGCCTCATTTCGTGCGTGTTTTCTGCTTGAGGTACGCGCAGGAAGTTTTGAGCTGTTTGGAATTCTTCACTTGACATTGCAATTTGTTGCTGTAGCATTCATTCCTTCGCCATTGGGGCGAAACAATGCGCAATAAACGCTCAGCTTACTCTGAGAAGGTGCGCTTTATTTTCTTGTTATACCAATTCATAGCAAGAAAGATTAGCCACATAATTTTTTTTCTAATTATGTAAGTAAAAGGCTACTCGCTCATGTCATTAACTCATACGGTCCCCTATGCATTTGTCTAAGCAGACTGGGTGGAAAGGAAAAGTCCTTTTCTGGCTGTTATTTTTCTTCTGAGTAAGTACAACACGTAACCCCCCCTTCCCACTTCGTAATGTATTTAGTCCCAAGAGGTTCTGCATTGCCATCGGGATAGATAACCGGACGCGCGTCTCATTTGCCTTCCCTTTTTCCCTCCCTTTTCATCTTCCTTCCTTGCTTCGTTCTTTCAGGAAACAGATGCATAGGAAAATTTCTGCCCTTCCCCGTCGCCATGGTAGTTTAGTGGTTAAGGTCCTTGACGCTCACTCGAAAGTCACGGAATCGAATATTTGTCACAGCTGCCGTATTTCGATGAAGGCTAGTTGCTACATGCTCTTGTGATTAGATTATAGTGCATGTTAGAGAAACTCAGCAGTTCATAATTCGCGGACTTCTTGCCTACGGCACCCCTCAAAACAACTTGTATTATTATCTCTGCACCTCACAGCGGTTCGCAGCATACCTCCCGGATATAAATAATTTAGACCAAGGGACGATGTAATGTAGTGATATCGGGTTATGTGACGTCAGGATGACGTCACAAAGTTTGGTGACCTGTAGTGTTATGATGACGTTGTAAAGTGACGCCATTATGGCATGATGATTTCCAGTGTCACTTGTGTTGATGCCAGTGCTGCTGATGGTATATTGATGCGCTCTATGAGGCATGCAAGTTTCGCCCGTAATACCAGACCAAACTTGAAAAACACTCCTGTGCCAATGCCAACTTGTGCTCTCAGCGTTGTCTTTAATGTTTTCTTTTCACCTAAGCACCCGTCTTGAATCAACTGTAGTTGCTATCCTAGTGCGCTGCGTAGCAAACTAAGCTCGCGCCTTTCTCACCTTCTTGCGTCTGTTATCTCTCACGGTAAAATTGTGCGCTGCTTTATCTACCTTCTTACCAGGACTCACGACAAGCGTACCAGGCTGCTCCGCACTACGATGGTGTTGGGCGTATCGTTTGCAACCAGCATAGGTGGCACAGGCACACTCATCGGGACTGGGCCGAATGCCGTCCTCATGGGCATCTTCGACGAGTAAGTTCGCACCGATTTACACGCCCGGACGATAACATCACTTCTACATTGTGCGCTTCCGCTCACGGTGTTCATGCACACAAATCTAGCTTGTTTCCAGGTTCCACGGAGATAACTTTCGTCACGTGGTTCCTGTACAACGCACCGACAATGCTCATATGTACGTTCCTAACCTGGGTGTACATGCAATGGAACGCCAGAGAAGCCATGTAAGTACATCAATTAAAAGAAAAAAAGAAACTTCAAAATTTGCTTGAAGAGGTCTAAAATTAGCCTTAGGCTAAAAGACAAAGCGTCCCTGGTGCTTGGTATAGAATAAATAGAATGATTAACGCGTTTTTTTTGTTAGACAGAACTGATAAAGATAAAAAAACATAGGGAATACTGACTGATGTTTTTAATTGTTGTGTAATTATTCTGACTTAAACTGGGAGGAATTAAGGTGGACTAAAATCATCTTTTCCGTAGGTGGTGTCTAAACCCACAAACTTCGAAAAACGCGAATAAGGGCTAAGATCCATCATCAGAAAGTGTGATATTTCATTGATCCCAATTCCTCTCAGTTGAGGTCCAAATGATTACACTACAGTTAAAAACAATGAATAATCTTGCCTATGTTTCCTTAGCCTAATTGTGCGTTACATTTATTCGTTGTTCCTCACTGTTTGTACTCTAGAAGTGGTTAATTCAGATTTGAGATTAGTACACATAACGTGAAATAATATGAAGCTCAAAATGCAAAAAAGCTATACGTTATGCTTTACTTTCAATGCCTGATCAAGTTACTGAGAAACACTGAGAAACACACCATGACCGTCTTGAGATAATGTTCGGCTCTATCTTCTTTTGCAATTTTCTCCCTTGAACAGATTATGTATAATTGAAATGCTTTATCAACTGCTCAATATTTTGCATCAGAAACAAAGCCAACAATCTAAATCTCTGTTACAGATCATCTATCGGGCATAATGCACTTGAGTACTCTCTGAGATTCCGCAAACTTAAATGTACACTTTTTTTTCTTGAACGTGGCAGGAGAAGCAACCCGGACGAGTGCGCAGAAGAAAAATAGCGGCGAGAAATCGCCTGGCGATACGAAAAGCTTGGAAAGATCAGGCACGTATATATATTTTTGCCTATCACTCATTTCTGTGACCGTGCAGAAGTGACACGAACTGTTGCCTGATGCGGCCTGAAAGAAAACTTATAGAAGCGAAGTTGGCGCATCCCAATTCAATAACGGAGATCGAGCGCGCGCTTGTTATTTTTCAAGCACAGAACAGGTTCAACCGGATTTGCTTTTGAAATGCAAACAATGTGCTTGCCATCAGTTGCACATTTAGCAATGTTCAAGTTGATTTATAAAACTGTCCTCATCATTCCACGATTCCTTGCTAACTTTGTTTTAAGAAAGAGCACGAACGTTCCTATAACTTATATGATCAGCCAGGGAACGCGTAGGTAAAGAGTTCGAGTAAAATGAAACAATTTGCTGTGCTGTAAATTTGGAAAAAAAGATGCACCCAGCAGCAAAAGTTTACAGGATGCGAGATCCACAACGAATGTTTCTTTCCGCTCAACATGTGCGTAATGATTCTAAAATAGCTAATGACTGTATAGGCTGCAATGCCGACAATAAGCTCGCCCCGCCGCGGTGTTCCAGTGGCTAAAGTACTGGGCTGCTGAACCGCAGGTCACGGGATCAAATCCCGGCTGTGGCGGCTGCATTTTCGATGGAGGCGAAAGTGTTGTAGGCCCGTGTGCTGATATTTGGGTGCCTGTTAAGGAAACCCATGTGGTCGAAATTTCCAGAGCCCTCCACTACGACGTCTCTCATAATCATATGGTGGTTTTGGGATGTTAAATTCTACACAACAACAACTACTACTACTAATACTACTACGACTTCTACTACTACTACTACTACTACTACTACTGCTGCTACTACTACTACTACTACTACTACTACTACTACTACTACTACTACTACTACTACTACTACTACTATAATCTAGGGCATTTAATTGGAGGTGACGTTCCAGGGCAAAGCGATAGCGACATTTCTGGAACCTTCCGAGTGCAACAGCCTTTTGCTGTTCGGTATGCATCCACGGTGTCCTGATTATGGGGATTGCATAATTGCGCAGACTTTTTCTGCGTAGCGATTTTAAGGATACTAAAAGTTTAAGAACAGATGTGTATATTGCTGCATGCACTTGCACTCGCAGTCAGCGAAAACCTGTTGTTGTCAATAGTTACTGTCACAATAATTCATTTAGGTAAAATGAATACTTCTCTCTCGTGTTTACAGTTTTGCTGAGATCAGCGTCAGCGCAGTGATTGTGACCATGACAGTGGGCTGGTTCGCAATGAAGCCACAAATGTTCCCCGGCTGGGTCGACGCCCTTCCTCACGGCAAGTGAGTGCAGTGTCCGTAAATCACTTCCCCGCTCTGTGTCTCACACTAATCGTTCAAATTAAAAAAAAAAAGCCGAATAAATTATTCGTACGAGGAAAAAAAAGTAATAAAAAACATGCGCGCATAATATATAGATAGCGAAATAGTGAACGCATATAAAAAAATGTACTTTTTATCAAAAAGCATGCGTATGCAAAAGCTACGGTTTTGAACGGTTACAGACTATATATGGCCTATATACATCAATAATAACTGACTAACTAACCATTCGTTTAGTATCGCGCCCCAAGCTGAGGTTAATATTTTATCGGAAATTTGAGGTAATACTACGCGGTACGTTTGAACAAACGTTTGTTTATTTCAATTTTATCTTGAGTACACTGTATCAAGCCGGCTGCCTTCTAACTCGAGCTTCGTCTTTCTGCTTGCAAAGTACTTTAACAATATTTAGGTGGTAACTCTACAGCTGCCACATGAAGAAAGTGTAAGTGAAGCCAGTGAAACTGCTGTTCACGCACCTTTTCTACCGCCTTCACCAACACAACTTGTACAATCCTTGAGTACATGATATGACGTGTATTGCGTAGTAGTGCAGGTGACCGCCGCAGCCGGTATCCGATCACGCGAGCTGCGGGTCAGCATTCTAGTACCATAACCGTCAGAATGGCATGTGTAATTTCAGTAATCACTGTCTGTATCTAAGGGACGTATCTCCTAGACGTGCAAGGCTGTATCTCCTAGACGTGCCATGGTGCCAGGGTGTAAGGGTGTATCTCCTAGACGTGCCAAAAGGCACGTCTAGGAGAACTACACCCGCGTTTCGTTTTGGTAATGTGCACAGGATATTTGAATCTTCCATCAATTCTGTTCGCAGACTCGTGAGACCGAGCTCCGTGGTCGCGCTTATGGCCCTGCTGCTGTTTGTGATACCCAAGGACCCCCGAAACCCGTGGCAGTCGCAGGCCCTCCTCACGTGGGACGAAGCAGTTCGTGGTGTTAAATGGGGTGTCGTGCTACTCTTGGGAGGAGGCATGAGTCTGTCCGAGGCATGTAAGGTGCGCGCATCCAAGTCAGTCTTATACAAACAAGGATGGTGTGACGGTGGTCATGCGTGTGTCCGGTCACAAGTTTTTATGCCATCAATGTGGCTTGGGCACTTTTTTACTCACCTTCGATTGCCATCTATAGATCCTTCTTATACAGTAAGCTTACGTTGCGGCCCCTACAATGGCATTTTTAACGTGTTCGCTCTTTAGCATTATCTTTGCCTTTTGTGCGTGGTTGTGCCCACGCCGTTTCATATCAATGATAACATCAAAAACAATAAAGATAAGAAGGCTTTGCCAAGGGTAAAACGACTTGCTCCGTAAGTTAATCGACTAATTTAGCATTTTGATCACCCTTTCTGCATTTTAGGAGCACAATTCATGCAGCGAAGTTGTGTAGCCTTACATTACTTGTCGCACGTGCAGTTTCCGAAAATTTTCCGTGCCCAAGTGCCTGTCTCGTGTGCTTCTTCGACTGGGGTATAAGCATATCAAGATGTCTTACCACACGGGTGATGTTCTCAAATAGCGACAGCCGAGTAAACTCGTACACGTAAAGGCACACACAAGATACTTCTCAGAACCGTAGTGGTGGCTACTTGTCGGTAGAGCGTGCCGTTGACAAGGCAGCGCCACAGTCTGCGCATGCGCGATATTCCTAGCCAGCTCGCCTCTCTCATCAGCATATCTAGATAGATGTTAATTTGCTTCAAAAGAAATGAGTTGGGCACGCTTTATTGTTTCAAGGATTGGCTGTGACAATGCAGTCCCTCTCCCTGTGCACGCGTGTGCACACGACAGAGCAGTCGCATGTGGCCTTTAAAAAGCGAAATGGTTAGCTGGTTCATTAATCGCGCAATTTGACAGTCCAGTGACGTGTCGCCGACAACACTTGCAGTCTCAAAATCAGAAGGCAGTATACTAGAATTTTATAGCTCAATAAAGCATGTTAAGTGCACCAAGTAACTAAGAGTAACCAAAGAGTCCAAAGACCAATTCGAATAAGTTGGGAAAATGAACAAGACCAACACACGGACATCGAACGGCACCTTTCTTGAAGCGTGCTAAATGTAATACTAAATAAATACTTACTGTTGAAGATAACGAAGTCTTACGAACAGTATTAGAAAATTTACTAGAGACTACTCAGTGTCACTTCTCTGCGGCAAGGCTGGTCATGTCAAACTAAGACTGATCAAGTGCGAAATAACAATTAGGTTGATTAGGTACTAAGGTAAATATTAAAAGCTCTAATCTGAGAGATGAGGTCGTGCCACTAGCACTACGCGTGCATTTAGAGATTCCACTGGATGAAGCGAAAGCGCGCTGTACCCTACAGGTCCCGACTAGCCCCTTGCCGGGTTCGTCATCAAAGCGCTAAGAGGGACGAACCACGTGGTTTTTCCCGCACAGCAAACGCTCTTTTAGGTGCACTACCGAGCGAAAATTGCTTTCAATTAGTGCTACGAACGCGCAGATTGGCCATTGGTCCATCGCTCGCATTATTTTGCGGGCACCTTGTACTACATATAGTCGAAAATCGATATCGTATAGAATTTGACGAAGCATTAGGAGACCGAACACGACGGCGTGCAAGAAAACTCATTCAAAAGGACTTTTAGCCTAGATTACACTACGGAGACAGCTGGATAGGGAAACTTATCACATGTAAAATAAAATACATTTGAACGTAGTGTTGCGCCCCAAGCGTACACTTGCTTCAGCAGAGATGAAATCTTATTGCTACTGGCTACTTAGGCTCAACGACGGTAGTAATAGAAATTATAATGTAGGGTGCATGAACTCATCTTTTGTGAATAGCCTTTGTTCATTCGCTCCCTCATTCATGTTTAAATTACGAAGGCAAGCGCACAATCATGGAATCAAACAACGTGATGCTTTACATTGTGTAGCATACAAGTAATCGTGAAAGTCATGTCGTCTACCCACGAATACTGCAGATATCGGGGTTGTCTGCGATGCTGGTCAGCAGCATGAAGGGTCTCAACGTGCTGCCACCGGCTCTGACGGCCTTGCTTTCCTGCTTCGCAACGTCTCTGTTCACGGAGATCACGAGCAACATGGCCACCAGCTTATAGTGTTACCTTTCGTCTGCGACCTGGTAAATATCTCATAACTATGACAGCGGATTACCATTGCCTTATTGTCATTGAGTATCACACTTCAACATTAACAATCATAATAACCGTTATAACAATTCTTCTATACGTACCATTCCTCTTTGACAATTAGCGCTTATGCATATTCGTCTTTATCACAGTCGAGAAAAGCACCAAAAGCAACTACTGAATTGTGATCAGTATTATCAGCAAAACAAAGCTTGTACCAAAACAGCGGTGCCGGTTAATGCTGCACGTATAAATTTTGTTCTACATGACTCGCACAGTTATATCGCCTTTATTAAACTACGTCATTCTTTTCATGAATCAGACGTGTTTCTGCTCACCACGTGTCGCATGTGCGTTCCATGAGAAGCTCTGATATTGCTGAGAACATCAGTGTTTTCTAGTGGAGCTGAAGGGCGACAGACAATCTAACTTGGTGTGTTCTAAATCACTTGCTATTAATACTTATCTATGCCGTGTTATCATATTTTCGCGCGTGAATGGCCCAGGCTATTCTGCTGAGACTGCACCCTCTCTACCTGGCCATGCCTGCAGCTGTCGCCTGCTCTTTCTCCTTCATTATACCTGCTGGGACGCCACCGAACGCCCTCGCCTACGAGCTGGCCAAGCTCAGCATTCCGGACATCGTAAGATCCTGACACCTACAGACCATAGTCTATTGTTTTTGGATTGTTATACGAAATCAATGCATATTGCGACTGTCATTTTACTAGTGTGCGTAGGAACGAACGTTTTCTATGGGCGGTTCTAAACGGAGAAAATCTTGGAAAAAGAAATTTCACTGCTCTGGATCCTTTAGCGGAACTGGCTTGAATACAAACATGTGCTGTCTGTCTAAAGAGAAACGTCCCTTGTACACCTCCCCAGGATTTTTTCACCGTGGCTTTTTGTGCTACCTCGTCTTTGCCAAATTAGTCCCTGAATGATCCCTGTCTGGTCGAGGAATCAATTGTCTTACATCTAACTCTTGATCATGGCAGGCTGATGTGTTAGTCCACGTCCACACGCATGCTTAGCTAGACCTTATTTCATGTTTTTATAGGCGCTGCCACCGAAGAGCGGCGCGGCGAAGTACTGAGCACCGACAGTTATGTTTGCGGAATGGTCGCAACAAGGGTTGCACGATGGCAGTGTTTTTTCTCACGACAGTTAAGAGAGATGAAACCTTTTTGTTGTCTTAGTTGGGCTGAAAAAAAGACAGGGTGCTGTGAGATAGCCCCACAAGAGCCCTTCTTCCTTATATGGTCGGGAGACTTTGTTTCTTGGTGTTGTCTTTCGCCAATCAGACTGCCCAGAGATTGGTAGAGGGCGGTGGCATGAAAAATTCTATTCTAAATCAGAAAAGTATAAAAAGCAGGCTTGAAGATACGCTGCTTCATCCATTCTATTAGAAGACACAAGGGTGGGAAGCAGCTTGCGCAGTTGCAGGTAACTTTCGTTATTTTGCTAATGAGGGCAAGGGCCCTCGACGGCGGAGATAGAAGCCAAGACAAACACTTAGCCCGAATATGCATGTTACACTGTAAATGTCGTCGAAAGACTATAGTATTGCGTCTGGAGAGAGTGAACAAAACGTTTATTTGATGTTCTGCGCAAGAAAGTTGGTGAATGGTATTCTGAAGGCGCTGCATGTGAGTGCCTCGAGCGTGTAACAGAGGCGAAGAGGCGCATCTAGGCACGTTAAACACGAGCGCCATCTGGCAGTTATCTTCGAAAACGAAGTCATGTGCGACCGCCGCGAAAGATGCGCGCCAGTCACGGAGGTGATAAGGTGTAGAATGGAAAGCGACGGGCAGGTGCCACCACCGTGCCGTCGTTGCAAAGGGTTGGAAACACCTTCTTGGGCATCGCATTGCACTGTCAGCGCAGCGCGTTAAACGCTGCCGTCCTTCGAGTGTTTTGTGTGTGCCTTCTTCTAGTATAAAGGCAGACATCCAAAACATACACATGTTGTTATGGCGCCTCACATATGTGCAATATTTGCGTTTTTAATTGACAATTACACAACTATGAACGCTAAACAATGAGCAATATTGGTGGGCGCTGCTGATGGGGTTGGCCGTTCGGTGCCGTATGAGATATCGTTATGGCGCACAAACAGACAAATGTGCAGACAGACAGACAGATCAAAATTTTTCCGTCGTAGGTCCCCAAGAAAGACTGTCGTCTTTAAAAAGAAAACAGCACTGGACGACGTAGCCCCAGGTTTCATGTGCGTTATGCTTCAAGCCTGTGCATCGGCAGCCGCTTGGGCACTCCTGTATGTCATCAAGTGAAGGCCAAGCACCCGAGAGCACATTGATCAAAAAGCCACTTTTTGAACCCCCGTAAGACTGGTTGCATTCACAGGCACATCAGTTTCCGCCTACAGCAGACCAAAACAAACTTGACAAACCAATTTAAAGTGGAGTCAAAGAAGCATCACGTAGAGCACGAACCTCTACAATATATCGGAAACGAAGCTTAAGAAGTGGTCTGCGGGTCGGACACGTTGCACCCACTGACAATCTCACCTTTTATACTCAGCGACTCGGGCTAAATTTCAAGCATAGAACATGATACAAAACTGTCGTAGATGACCAACAACCACTTCGGTACAAACATATTCCAAAAGCATAACCACATCAGGCATGGCCACACTTCTATAGTTACTTTGAACACGCATATGGATGGAATTGAAAGGTATAGTCATCCAGGGGATAACGAGGCATTCGATGTGTCAAGAAGCTGTGGGCGTATGGCTTATACCAGTCGACAACACTCTAAAAACGAAAGGCATGCGTATTACTATTTCCAGAGGGTACTGGCTTGCCTCCTACATCACTCTCTTTAAGGACTCGCCTTAACTCCCCTTTTCCTCTCACGACTCTCCTAGACAAATGATTTACAAAAAGAGTTCATCGATGTCTCTACGGAGAGAGTCACATAAGTGCCAAATAGGGGCTCATCAAAATAGATCAAAGGACTCAACTTTTTGTAAAAAAAGACTGAATGGTGCCTCTAGAAATCCACTCCATTAACCCCCACTCTGAACCAACACAGAAGCAGCCGGGATGACATTTTGTCATATTTGTAAATATACATCAGCGGCTACTTTGCTTTCGATATGTGTCACGTTCACCATGATGTATGCAGTACACGTAGAGTACATATGCAGTACACGTGATATGGGACAGTACACGTGCTTTTTTTTTCACCTCCGCTTCCGCACTCGGATAACCCTTTCTTCTGCCATATGAACACAAGCACAGCGTGAACCATTTCTAATCGTCGTTTCTTTTTTCTTCTCTTGCAGGCAAAACCGGGATTCTTCGTCAACCTAATATGCGTGTTCGTCGAAGTAGCTATGATACACGTGTTGGGCATTTCCATATTTGGCCTTTCGAAGTTTCCAGAGTGGGCAGAACACTACAGGGACGCTGCTACATCAAGCACGCTGAGACAGACCACTTTAGGCTTTTTCGCAGAAACCAAAACAGGTGCTGCAGTGAGCATAGACAATAGGACAATTCGATGAACATGAACATCTCGAGATATGTAAAAAAAAAGACTCGCTTTACATGCACTGTGTGATGTAGTGCAGCTCTAGTCAACGTGAACTGAAATGCCGACCTTCGAGAAAGAACAAGATGCTTGCAGATGCACCTGCTGGCAAAGAAGTGCGATTACTCGTTCCCATGTATACATACATGATTGCCGACCAGATATACACTCTACGTTTTGTTCAGGGTAGAGTTACCGCATATGCTGCATTTAGTTACAAAAGGGTAGTACATACAGCAACTTTAGGTCAGATAACAACGCACCATCTCACGAGCCTCAAACTTAATGTGCCGCTCACCCAGATCTAACAGAAGGTTACAGTTCTTAGTAAAATACTTCTCACAAAAAGAAACAAAGGGAGAATAAAAAAGACACAGAAGCTGTCACACTTCAAACGAGCACTTTTAAATGGCAATGTCTTAACAAAATTATCACCCTACAATTGCGAGAAACCTGCCTGTGCATCAGCACTCTACCCGATAAGTAGAGCGGCCATGTAAGTAGACGTTAATGCACACCAATATCTAGTAGAAAATGAGGCCATCAATTGAAAATCAAACCGCGGTTGAGTAGTCAAAACAATTACGTGCTATGTCCTCGACGTGCTCTCGGAACTCCTGCTATCTATCTATCTATCTATCTATCTATCTATCTATCTATCTATCTATCTATCTATCTATCTATCTATCTATCTATCTATCTATCTATCTATCTATCTATCTATCTATCTATCTATCTATCTATCTATCTATCTATCTATCTATTCTATCTATCTATCTATCTATCTATTATCTATCTATCTATCTATCTATCTATCTATCTATCTATCTATCTATATAGCCATCGACGTTTGGATGCTCTCTTGATCAAGAATATCTCTGGATGATCATGACGTGAATAACGTGAAATGTATGTTTTCTTTTCATGATTCTTTTAATAAACTTGTCAGTTGCGAGTTAGCGTTGTGTCTACTTCTTGTCTTGTAGTTTGCGCTGCTTTAAATATAAAATGCGAAAAACTCGTCTTGCACGTCATCACAGGTGTGGCGCATACCGTCTACCACAGGCCGTGGTATGTGAGCATGCGCCACAAGTGTTTGACAGTTTATATCTACTTAAGAATGGCGAGAACAGATACTGGTAATTTAAATGCGAGTGCGTTAAGAAAAACTGACATCGGCAGCGTAGACCAGATTAATGCAAACAATAAACATCATGGCCATAGCAGGAATGAAACCCGAAGCATTCATCGTGGAAATTCTTACGCACACCCGAGCCACGCCAGGTTTCAGAACTGCTTTGAAAGTATAGGCCCTACGCAGGCGTAATGTTAGTGAAACGTTATTTGTGTTTGAAGTGCTGGATATCTAATTTTATAAAGATTACACATCTACACCTACGATGCAGAGTTAATCACCGGGTTGAAGTCAATTGTATACTTACGCACCATCCATGGAAGTTGGCCTACGTAGCATTGTTCAGGCCAAGCTGCCTCGCAAAGACAAGCGCTTATATCAGCTAACCGCCTCTGGTGTTGGTGATACCCATGTTGCTATTACTATGGTTCGCAACTGTGAACAGCTGGTTATGAAAACTAACCCGACTTTTGAACATAATGTTACGGCATATGTGATTTGGGTTTAGCCTCTGGGTAGCGGGGAACAGGCAGATTAGAGAAGAGCACGTTCGTCTAGCGAGATAAGCCTCCGGTGCACGACACCTTCAAGCACACCAGTACGCCACAGCGGAATAAACACATTTCTAAACGTAACAATATGTTTGCGCCCATAACACTTTTAAATATTTTAGCGTCATTATGAAACGAGTTGCCCAATAAAAATTAAACCACAGTCACATTCCCTTTACATGCTTCTCATATCATCTATTCTAAAGTACGTGAAATTGTCACAACTTGTACAAAACAGAGATGCACCAATATAGCTCAAATGGTTTAAATTCACTTGTTTCAGTTATTTTGCCAATTAACGGACACTTCTATACATTTTTAACATGTTAAGAAAACCCTGCAAGTTGATAGCTGAGGCTACAGCAAACACGCGAGCGAAACGTCGCGTGACATCGAGTGACATGGAATTTTTAAATAAATTTTAATATCGTCTAAAAATTAGCTGTTATGCTTTCCTTAGATAATAACATACACTAAAAGCCACTGCGTCATATACCCGAAAGGCACAAGGACACAGCCGTTGGCCGCTTTGGGAATTGTGAGTGCATATTTATGGAGGTTGGAAGATTGGGCATATTGGCGACACATAATGAATATGGAAGAACAGCGCAATGGACATTTAAAATTATTATTGAATTTCGGTATACAAAAAACGAGAAGACACGGAGTAATCAGGGAAGGAAACAGGCTGACAACTGCCACCTGGAAAGGTGCAACGCCTGCCCGCATCTTTGGGAAGGAGAAAAGCAGAGGTATATTTTTGAAAATAAACAGAAAAAAGAAGAGATTTGGTTAAACGAAGAACACAGACGTAAACACAATTAAGTAGTAACATAAAAGTACTAAGAAAACGCATTACATAGCACTCCCAATGAGACGTGCCCGCACCACACTCTAGTACGTTCGTTATCGCACTGAACGCGAGCCGGTCATTCAGACAAAAACGCCCAAATAATTCGCTCAGGATCATGACGTGTTTTAATGCGCGGTCGCCGCTTATCGTTCATCACTCCTTTCGCGTAGCTTTCGGCGCTGTCGCTGGGACGCAAGTAGAGATAAAACACCCAGAGGGTTTGATTCATTGATGATTTATATGTTGGGCTTCACGTCCCAAAACCACCATATGATTGTGGGAGACGCGATAGTAAAAGGCTCCGCAAATTTCGACCACTTGGGGTTCTTTAACGTGCACCCAATTCTGAGGACAAGGGGCTACAGCATTTTCGCCTCCATCAAAAGTGCAGCCATGGCATCCGGGACTTGATCCAGCGACCTGCGCGTTAGCAGCTGAGTACCTTAGCCACTAGACCACCGTGGTGGGGCCTAAAGCGTACGACTAACCACTGTCACTCAAGTGGTATTTGATGGATTCTAAGTATTTGTTGCCTGAGTTGATTTATTAGGCAATCAACTCCGATAGTGACAGGATTATTTGAATCAGTGTCTCAGGGTTCTTTTAAAATATCTATCATGCGTATGCATTCCTTATGGAAAAGTGGAATGCCCTCTTGAAATCTTTGTGAATAGAGCACACGGCCACGATGATGTAGCGTCTACGGTACTCAGCTGCTGAGCTGAAAGGATAGCGGGTTTCAGAGCTATCTCAGTGGTCGCATTTTGCTTCACTTGTGGCGATTAAAGCCCAAACCACATAAGCGCGAAAATGCACGCGACAGCGACGAGCGACGCGACGTAGATCGTCGTCGCGCGATCAGTCGCTAGCACAGGCAAACCTCATTCACGCGACGGCTTCGGCGAGCGAATTCCACTGTTGCTGGCATGAGGCCGTCAACTCGCACCAAGAAAACCGCGTAGCGAGCGGTATGCAATTTAAAAATAAGATATATTGTTGTGTAATAAAACGGAAAGTGTTTATTATTGCCTTGCAGCACTTTTTATATGCACATGCGTAATAAACATTGCGTTATTTCTTGTCGCGCATACGTGACTCGGGCAGGGTCACGTGCACCTACGTAGTCTTTGTCTTTTCCGGTATTTCGCTATTGGCTGCTTGAGCCCAGCACTTCCGGGCGATGAGCGACGGTTTCCAAATCTGGAGAACCGAGCGATTGCGCGAAAACGAGCACGCGACACGTCGCGCGAACGCCCTGTTTCGTCGCTCATAGCGTCGCTCGTCGCTGTCGCGTGCATTTTCGCGCTTATGTGGTTTGGGCTTTATGGTTGCTGGACTCAACACACCAGCGTGAATTGACGCATTGGACCAACGCTGTTAAATTGCACCTCCAAATAAATACTTAATCCTGACAGGCTCATCATTATATTGCAATGAAAACTCATTCTTTATTGGGGCTTAGGTTCATCACGCTTGTTTTCTATGCCGTGTTAGGAGAAATGGACTGAGACAGATGGCGCGATAACCACACGACGTTTATGACAAAACACGGAAACGAAACATAGAAAACACTGAGGCAGAAAAGGTACATACAACGAAACAGAGAGAACTAAGCTTGATTTAAAAAATGACCAATTAGCGTTCAAGTAGGAACGTTCGAAAACCTAACAGCCAGATCGACGGTACGACAGACGCCGATGAGCTGGCTGCAGGGCAGGAGGCGGTGGAAAGGCGCTATGGAGTGGGCTCACTTGCCGACGTGCGACGCTCTCGTGGCGACTGTGCTTGACGGCGTGGGTGCGACCACGGAGCAGTCAACCCGCATCGGAGACGCGATGCTCCATGCGTGTAAATGGCCAATCCGTCCAGCGAACAGCTTGCGTCGAGACGCGATGCTCGGCGCAACCGTGACCATTAGCCAAGCCACGTACGTTGCTGTGCCGAACGTCTGACCCACGGAGACGCCTCGCCGAGAACTGCGATGTCCTCGGCAAGGAAGAGAACAGCAGGCCAGGCCGCACCCCGAGACGCAGTACTCGTGCCGGCAACGTCACCCCAGCTGGTAGTTGGCCAGAAGCAGCGTGGACGGCCGCGTTCTCTGGCCGGAAGCTGGATCGCCCGAGTCCGACGCTTCGGCCCGCTGTCTCCCGTCTGCCTCTGCTTCAGCTCGTCCCCAGCCACAAAGCTTACCGCCACGTAATGGTCATACGTGGCCCAATCGTGGCACTGCCACCTCTATGGGCCACCACAGGTCATCAGCTGATTGGCTGACCTCACGCGCACAGTTGGCTCAAAATTCCACGCGCCTTGCCCCGCACTTCTGTCATTGTCGTCGTTTTTCTCAAATCCTCACACCTTTATTTAACGAAGCCGCCAAGCGAGAGCTCCTTAGGTACTGGTGCATGAGCAGTAACGAGGTCATGCAGTGGACCACACCAACCCACTTTAAATTCAATCTCAGTCCTAAATTGTGAAGTTGACCAGTCATTAAAGACACACGTGCAGCTACTTATTCTTTATTGTCATTGGAGTTAGACATTCGCGCTGTAAGCCTAAGATGGTGTATCATCAGCAAGCATAATCGCCAACCCTGCTACGTGAAATTTCATTGTATAGTGTTTTACATGCCAGAAACATCATATGATTAAAAGGCAAACCCGCATATAACATATTTGTACATGGGTCTGTTTACATTAATTACGGTCTCATAGAAAATATATTCTCAGCTGTAGCCCGTGCTACAGCTGAGAATAGAATCCACGCTACCAAACGAAGTGGTGCAACAATACTAACACGATTTATTTATTTCGCGTGAAGACGGTGAACACAATGGCAAGGCAATAAAAAGCTGTCAACAAGCTACAAACTCAGGAGTAGCAATTATTAAAAAATAAATGGGCCAATATTTAATTTTTACGATGTCATGTGATTGATCAGTTGATGTTGCTACAACTGCGACAGATAGAGGAGACGACTATAGCGGTTTCTAGAATAATGCTGTGCTAGGCTCCCGCCTAAAATATAAACCGGTAATTGCTTGGTTCTATAAAAAATTAAGTGGAGCATTGCAGACATCCCTGCGAGTAAGTGATTTAGAATATTCGTTCGACCAGGCACTGGCGTCGGGGAAAGGAGAAGACAAAGATGGAGACGAAGTTCCCCGTTCTCTGCACGCGGATCGAGCAAGCAATTCTGCTAGTTATATGCAGCCTTGTTTATCTGCGTCTAAATCTACGCGATGGAGCAGCAACCTTCTGAGCCCCCAATTCAGGTAGGCACACTTTCAACAATATCGACAGAGGGGACGCCGTAGTGTGTTACAGTATATATGGTATAGGTCTACGGTGCCACTTTCGTCCTTCAAGCAAGGGCGCGCTACGAGTACGAAGGTCATTGCCAATGACTCTAATAATCGAAAAACATCAAGGCATCGCATTCTTCCCATACCTGTAGTATCTTGGAAAGGCACAAGGTCTGTGTTTTCCACCTAGACAAAGTATAAAGTGTTACTTTATAAACAGTTACTTCCATGCTTGTCTAATTAAAACTGGTACCCTAACAGCGTACGAGAGAGCAAGCGACGTTACAACAATATGCATTAGGCGACATGTCAAGGCAAAGGCGTGTGTTAGCGATGCGTAGGGCCGTTTTTCTATGCCGGCGTATTTGTTTACGCATATGAACACAAGAATCACCCCAATGATCTGAGACAATGGAAAAGGTTTACTCTCTTGAAAACAGGCGTACGCTATTAGAGAGGATAGGGCTAAGTTCTCACTATATCTTTGCTCAGTCGGACTTGTCTTCCAACTCTTTAGTTTGAATGGTTATGGCCATGCATGTTTTTAACAATAACGGGCGCCGGCGACCCGTGATTTGGCATTTATGGAATGTTCACTTTCCACCAATTTACGTCCGACAATCTGTAGGTCATTGGGTGTATAAAGTATATCATTGCGTATTTTTCAGTGCTATGACGGTAGCCCTTGTATGGACACTCTCAAAGGTGTTTCGCCATCGCTGCCATTTCCCGTACGAAGTACTAATTCGTAACAACCTCCGTGCATTGTGCCGTCTGCCCGTGGGTAAAAGTGCGCGAGCAGGGTGAATGAACGCAGCTCTGATCTGAAGGGGGCGGGATGTGGTAAAGTGTCATTTGGAGCTTTGCACGTATTGGCGAGAAAAACGCCAGCCAAGAAAGACGCATGATACTTCCCGCCGGGAGATTAAGACGCGCAAGAGATCGTCCATTCTCCTCCTATCCGTGAACCAAAGTACCTGTGAGAGGTGAGAGGCGCCTCGCACTCATTGCTCTACCTTGCTGATAATTCATAAAACACGATGACTCACCTCCCTTCCCCCCCCCCCCCCGAGAGGCCCGCCAACAGCGGTAAATGGTAGATATAAATAGCTTGCTGTTTGAACGTTGAAGGAGGTACCTTTCGGTGGCTCATTGGTTAACGCCTGGCATTCCCGACACGGAGGTCCAACGTTCTATTCCGCGCGCCGGATTCTTTTTTTGTGCATTTTTTTCTTTTTTGAGTTTTCATATATATACATACGTAAACATATACGGCGCATGACATTGACGCCGACGCCGGCGGCGAAATCCAGCCGAGAGTGTCTATATAATTGCTATCGCAATAAAACATCTTGAGGAATGAGGGGGGGGGGCACGGGCCCAGTGTGTCACTCCTGGCTACGCCACCGCCCAAAGAAATGTCGCGATGGGGCCCTACTGTTGCGTAAATGCCACATCGTAAATGGTGCATGTGTTATCGTCAAGTGGGCATTCACGCTCTCTTGTAAAAGATGTTGACCCGCTGCCTCTCAGCAGCAGCCTATTGTCTACATAGTGAGTGAGTTCTGGTCATTGTGAGCTAATATCAGCATTGTGATCTTACGCGTGCAATCATCTGTTAAAAAGCGTCATTACCTTAAGTTACTCTCAATTTCGCCAGGTTATCGCATCCACATACACAACCTGTATTGTATAGGCTATGCCAACATATTTTTATTAGCTCTTCAGGTGGCGTTAGGCTAACATTTATCTTCGCATTTACACATATAACTAACTTCTTGGTTCCTAACTACAGCTACTCTTGTTCCCCTTAAACCCAGAATAACCACGGCGCAAATACACAGCAAGGTTTGTCTACCGCACCTCAGTCCCAGCCTGTAGATGCATTAGAGGTCAAGGAGGAGTCTCCTGAAGTTTCACCGACGCTACTGCAGTCACCACTCCCAGATGCTGCTAAGGTCGAGATGCCCTCTCCAAAGTATACGGCTCCGGTACCGCTGTCCCATGCAGAGACTGAAAAGATCGAGGTGGCGTCTCCTAAGGATCCGCCTATGGTGCCCCAGTCTCAGCCAGCAGCTGCAGCCAAGGCAGAGGTGGATTCTTCGAAGACTGCGCGGATGGTTCCTCAGTCCACGCCTGCAGACACCCCTAAAGCCGATATTGCGTTCTCTAAGGATGCATCGACCGTACCTCAGTCACCACCAGCAGATACGGCTAAGGTCGAGGAAACGCCTTCTAAAGATGCCCTGGTGGTGCCCCAGTCATTGCCTGCAGACGTGGCTAAGGTGGATTCCGCGAAAGCTTCACCGACAGTACTCCAGTTCTCAGTGACCGACAACGCGAACATCGAGGAGCCTTATACTAAGGCGTCCCCGACATTACCCCAGTTCCCCCTATCGAGCACCACCAATGTCGACATGGCAATTCCTGAGGGTGCACCTATGGTACCCCAGCCACCATCTGAAGATGCAGCAAAGACTGAGATGACTAGTCCTAAGACTGCACCGAAGGCACCCCAGTCTCCGCCTGTCGCCGCAGCAAAGGTAGAAGTGAAACCTCCGAAGGATTCATTGTCGGTGAGACATTGCCACCTGGTGCGCCGCACTGATTTTGAAGGTTACGGTTTTCTGTTTGGCGAGGATAACGAGCGTAAGCAGCAGCTCGTCACAGCAGTGGAACCAGGAAGCCCCGCTGAAGCAGCAGGTCTTCGAGTAAAAGACATCATTATTCAGGTAATTCCTACGTACCTGACAAACTCCACCTTGCTAGATTAGCTGCCAATGGCCCAAGCAGCTTACGACCATTCACTCAAATGAGTGTCGTGAGCCGAATTACACTTTTGACATCATGTGTCGAGAGAAGAGTGTGCGATGTTACCTGACTTTTTCAAACTCAATTGTTCATCTCGTGTTGCGTACTGCGCTATAATATGCAGCTCACATGTTAGCAGGACAAATCACAATTTAATAGCGGGGGTGTTAACATGGCAAGATGTGTTTACTCCAAACAAGTTCTAAGACCGGCAACTTGTTGTATAGGTGATTATATGGCGTCGAAATTGTCCAGAATAATTCAATATAATGTAATGCTAATCTATGTAGCCACACGCTTTATGAATGCTTCAAATAGAAAAAAATACGCTAGTGAACCAATGCTGCATCGTCTCTCAGTAAAAAGAGGAAGAAATCACTCTGCTACCTTGCAGTAAGAAAAAGACAGTGGGTCCTATTCAGCGTTCTTGCATGCCCTACTGTTATACTAGTATCCTGAAGGTACATGTACATGTTCTTAGAAAAAGTCTGATTGGGTTGGGCATGTGCAAAGTGAGTCACTTTTCATCATCATTATTATCGGTATCTTAGCCATTTTAGGCTTACTGCATGATGATGGGCTCCCGTAGTCATCTCTAGTCCACTCCATGTGCCAGCTGATATCATTGTATCCTTGCAAACTTCTTTATTTTGCCACTCCGTTTATCTATACCATGTCGTAAACTTATACGTACAGTAAAAACTATATATGTATGGATTTTTTCTCACTGTTACTGAGAATAGCAGTGTGCAACTCGAGAATGACGACAAGAGGGGAAGATATCAGGAGTGCAACTGGTTGGCAGATCATGAATACGGGAACAGCGCTGGAAAAGGAATGCTGAGAGAGCAACAGAAGAGGTCGTTTGTTCTGCCGTTCTCTCAATGTCCGCGTATAGCGCTTTTGTGGCCGTCTTGCCGACGACAAGCACTCACATTGCATTTGTCCAGGGGCGTGATCCACTTAGCATCAACATGAAAATGATCAACTAGCCCATACTTCTCCAGCTACTAAGCTTCAATTTGCCAATCGGTCCGAGTTTTCACGTGACACACCTGTCACGCACATATTATGAGGACCATATACGCTTGCGTTGCGCAGGTGAATGGAGTGGAAATCGACGGTGCCTGCCACCAGGACATCATCAATCGCCTCAATTCAATCCCCAGCGAGGCACATCTGCTGGTAGTGAACGAAGTTGCTTTTGACTCGTACAAGAAGCACGTGGGCGTAAACAGCCTGCCCAGCGCCCATGAGATGAGCGACGTGGCCGGGGCAGAAACCATTCAGTCGGACACGAAGCCTGCCATCCCGCAAGCCAGATTTATTACGGTCAGCTCACCACCAACCGTAAGAGATGTCTTTTTAATCAAGTTCGAAAACATTCTTCAAGTGCTGGACTGTTTAATTGAGAAAGTGTTTAACTTGACAATTTGTGTGCGAATCATTTGAGATGGAGGTAGCTAGAGATACTGAAGGAGATATTATGGACTGTTAAATTACATTGCCATTGCCATAAAATCGAGCAGTAGTATCAACACACTGGTTGAAAACATATGTCAATACGGGTTCTAACTAATGATGATCCATACTCTTTTCATCATAACAAATTATGCTCTATGATAAGATATGATCTCTCTTGATGTGAAGGTAACCAAGTTGTCACTTTACGCTGTGGACAGAAACTTGCATTCTTTTCTGTGGTAGAAGTTTCATTGCTTTCTCTATATTCACGAAATGAGACGAACGTATGACTCCAAATGAAATAAAGTAAATTAATAGTACCGAAACAAGTAAATTAATAGTACGCTCACGTCCTGCCGACAACTTGTTTGCTTTAGCAAATTTTTATGCCGGTCAAAGTGAAAGACAAACCAATATGGAACCACGCAAGCACCGAATGATTCCATAGTACTTTTCTAGGGTGGTAGAGAACTGCTTCGGTGAGCCTGATGCAGGTGGGTTGAACATGACCTGTATGTGTTATGATACTCGATATGTCACAAGTAGACGACTGTAATCCAAGAATACTTAAGAAGAATGACGAAAAATGGAGACCGTACAAGAGGACTGTAGCATCATATACAGCAGAAAGATCGCAATGCAATAAAAGCTTTTATAGACCAGCTAGTGTGCCTCAGAGACGCTGGCCAGCATTTCCATGGGTGTACGAGTCTTTCGGCGAATGTGGATTGTCAGCCTTGTGCTGTTCGTTTCAGTGACATAACGGAAATGACGCCATGTGACCTCATCCTGTAATCCTTTAAAAACAAACACAAGGTTGACAAGGTGCCTTTCATAAAGATAGGTCAACGTAGAGAAATTCATGCTCACATTTCTGCGTCACGTGAAGCCAGCCTATGCATTTTGTATTCCAGATTGTGTTTCCAATGTTTGGCTCAAAGTCTTATCTTTGATAGGTCTCGTACATTGTATATTATATTTGAGTACGGCATACGTTAGATACCATGTGATCGCATTCGTTTTTTGCAGGTTGTGCCACTTTCAGTCGAGCACGACAGCTTCCAGACGTCGGTGAGGCACACCAGCCCAAATAGTAGCACGGCAATAGGGCCCGTCGCCACGTCTGGAATGCTAGACCCACTGGTGAACGTCAAACAGGAGCCCACTAGTCCGACAGAAAGCACACTGCGACGACGATTTACCCCCGACGAAGGGCATCAGCCAAGTTCGCAAGACAACAGCCCCCAGGTAGGTGTCTTAGGAAAACCATGCCTTCACGTAGACCAGAAATATTTGCGAATACCACACATAGTATTGCCACAAGCCATGTTCTATATGATAGATCCACACAGGCGTGCACAAGCTTTCGGTAAAAGAAGAAGGAGGTCCAAGTGTCGTTCTAAAAATACATGTTCTCTTGTTTCTTACCCACGTGCTACGAACCATATCGAAAAGTTGGGAGGAAACGGTACCAAGTATTATCATGCATTTTGTATTCCACATTGTGTTCCCAATGTTTGGCTCAAAGTCTTATCTTTGATAGGTCTCGTACATTGTATATTATATTTGAGTATGACATACGTTAGATACCATGTGATCACATTCGTTTATTGCAGGTGGTGCCACTTTCAGCCGAGCACGACAGCTTCCAGACGTCGGTGAGGCACACCAGCCCAAATAGTAGCACGGCAATAGGGCCCGTCACCACGTCTGGGATGCTAGACCCACTGGTGAACGTCAAACAGGAGCCCACTAGTCCGACAGAAAGCACACTGCGACGACGATTTACCCCCGACGAAGGGCATCAGCCAAGTTCGCAAGACAACAGCCACCAGGTAGGTGTCTTAGGAAACCATGCCTTCACGAAGACCAGAAATATTTGCGAATACCACACATCGTATTGCCACATGCCATGACCTACAATGAATCTACACAGGCGTGCGCAAGCTTTCGGTAAAAGAAGAAAGAGGTACGTGTCGTTCCAAAAATACACGTTCTCTTGTTTTTACCCGCGTGCTACGAACCATATCGAAAAGTTGGGAGGAAACCGTACCAAACATTATCATGGGAAAAACCACAGATACAGATGGTAGTCCCTGTTTTTCCCAGAACCAAGCCGATTTTTTTCTTTCACTCCAAGCATATACATGCCAGTGCGCACCGCTCGTATACAATGTCACGTCATGATATCCACTCTACAAGTAAAATGCGACAAGTGTGCATGTACAGCCCCAACCACAACCGGAGCGTATCTCGGACAATTCACTTTTAGAGAGTTTCCTCTTATCCTTTTTTACACTAGCCCTTCTAATACTAACGCTTTAATAAACACAGGACGTCAGACCTCGCGCACCAGCACCGTTGGCCGCCTCTCTGGAGCGACATGACGAAAGCAGCGAGCAGGCGTCTGTGCAACTACCACCACTCGACGTTCTGGAACTGACGGTGCGACTGCTGCTTCCGCTGCGGCTGCCCATGTCCCTGCTTATGGGCTTGATGATGATGTCCTTGCTTGCGGTGTACTATCTGTACACCTACGTCAGCAAACCATCAAAAAACTAGCCATGCAGCGCCGCCTAAATTTGATATTTGGCTGCAGTAGCGTGCGTAGACGTAGATTCATCCGCCCTCTCGTCCGTGCTTGGGGTAATGACGTCATTATCATAAAACAGGGCAGTTCATTTGAAGCGATGATGTCCACTCATGAAATGTCAGCAGCCGCCACGTGCCAGCTGTCCCTACTTACGTCAGCGCCTGTCACTTATGATTAAATGCTCCTTTAGTAAGAAACTGAAGGAATTACACATATCAGCTAATACTTTCACACTGAGGATACAGAGGCAACCTGCCTCCATGCCTTCTATTGTGAACACGTATGCTTATTCCCTCAATCTAGTACTTCCAAGCATGCATTACCTACAACAGTTTGTACTAGAATAAATATATTGTGCGGGCTGCTGCTTTTTCACTCTTAGAATGTCCTGCTCTAGTGGCCTAAGATTCCCGGTATCCAGCTGACTCACGTGATAAACCAAGTTTAGGCGATGTCACAAAACGGAGCCCCGATGCCTTTAATGCTTGAAAGCATAGTTTCTTCATAAGACACGGGAAGATAATGCGGTGCTTTAGCGTCTACGGGAGCTACAACAGTGTTTCATGGGAGTGGTAGGTAATACACGGATTTGTCTAAGCTTCTTTCTTTCGGTGCAGTTTGGTTCCGTGGGTCCTGAAGCCGTTTTGTCACAAGACGAAGTTCAGCTAATGTTCACGTGCTTCCCTCCACCGCCTTAACGTTTTAAGAACTACCAGTTACAAACCCAATACTGCCCAAGTCCAGCTATTATGCACTTAATACTTCTAGACTTTTTACCCCCCGACAAGTGCAGAGACTGCGAGCACTTATAACATATGCTCTGAAGACGCGCACGCATACTAAACAAATTTATGCCGCCCTAAACATTAACCGCCATCGCGCTCACTGGGAGTCTGCGCTGCTCAGCTCTGACCTGGAGCACAAACTCTAGGCCGTTGGTGAGCCGAGGAAGCTGAAAGGAACCACCAACCTTTGGGCAAAACTTGGTGAAATATAGGCCCGTCCTACCAATTTGCAGGTCACTCAATAAAGTTCTTTGATGTACTATCAATTCAAATCCGCTCATGATGTTCGCAACGATCTATTTCAGAGCACACCTAAAGAAATAAACAATCCCCCTCCCCAAGTACATTTAAAACTGCAAGCACAAAGTATGGTGAAATTCCGCGTATTGAGCATTATTCCGATGTCTGCTGAACGATTAAGTGCCGGAGCTCTCTAGCAAGTATTGTTGGAAACTATATTCTTCAAAGCACCTGAAGCTTCCTCCCCTTATCCACTCGGTATGAATACAATTAAAGTGAAGTTCGTTTAAACTGAAGCCTCAACACACAAAATCTTATCCATCGTGATCTCTCCGGTAGGTCCACCAGTTGATGTGTATACCTGTACAGTTTACTCATGAAGATTAATTTGTCTACTACGAAGCTGAACATTTGGCCATGTTGAAAGCACTGCCACAACGACAGCAGTCAAGTAGGACAGGGCGCGTTGATTTGAGGAAAGGTGTGCATGAGCGTCATATAGCTAGTTTATTACATATCTCGCGTGACCTTGCACAGCTTTTGCTTGCATGACTGGGGCTGTTAATTCAAGAAATAGCATTCGCAGTTCACGTTACATTGCAGTAGTACGACATGCTAAACGCGTCAGGGCGCCTCCTTGAAGTGTTACAAAAAACTGCCAGGCCTGTGCGGGTAACGCCCAGCACGGTCAGAGAAAATAATGGAAGAGCAGCATTTCCGAACCTTCTTTAGGGGCGAAGCTCCTTATAGTCTACCCTTGTCACCAGTTATGCGTAATTGAGAGAAGAAAAGACAATAAAGGCAATTTGATGACCATTTCTCGTCTTATTTTCTAGATGCCGTCACTCTGCCGCTACTCTCCGATTGGCTGCTGCACGCGCTTTGCCTGAGTGCGCGATCGTCGGTGTTACCCGCGCACCACCTGCATAGTGCGCGGAACGAGTGCCTCTCCCAATCTTGAATAGTTGCCGTACGTGGCGGATTGTTTGTGGCGCATGGACAGAGCAGAGGGGCAGGCGCGTTGAAGACGCTTGCGCTCGGCTTCTTCGGTTCTTGTCTCCTCGGTGTTACCCGCACGCCATCTGCATTCTTGAACGCGATCGGACACATGGATGCATGCACGGTCTAACGGACACACAGATCAATGGACGGACGTGCGCTTAGTCCCACACATCATCATTCACTCGGATCCGGGAATATCCACCTATTAATTGTGACGCATACCCACCATGGCAGAGTGTGGGTTGGCTAGGTGGTTGGTTCCTCAACAGCTTGGCGGAACCCACTCAGGGGGACTGGCCATGAATTGTATGTTGCCTTGTTAATTAAGCTAATTCGCTTCTTGAATGAAATAGAATAATTCGTTGGGCATTACAGGTATCAATATAAACTCGTAGGATTAAAAATACGTTTGAAAAAAAAATGACTTAATAAGCACAAAATAACCGTCTGTACCTAAAGTAACTGCAAGATCAAGCTTTTCTAAAAGTTTAGAGCATTCGAAGGCCCCCTCGAAGGCCAACTCGGTGTCACACAATGCGAATTATGTGACACCGAGTTGTTTTTTTGCTGTTCTAGAACGTTTTAATACACATATTAACGCGATTCGTTTCCCGACATCAAGCCTGCCTAATGCCATTTTGTAATGAAGTTCCAAGTACCGGCGTGGTTCTGTGGTGGAATACTGGGCTGGCACTCAGGGGATTTGGGTTTGAATCCCATTGTGTTCTTAGTGTTTTATTTACAGCATTTTATTCGGTGTGATAGTGGTTACAGACACTGACGGTGGCAGCGGCGGTGGACTACTACGGCGCGAACGCAACCCGTGTTGTGATCTCATAACAGCTTTTACTGTGAAAAATTAGGCTGTCTTGCACAGGGGAATGTCCAGCGGAGCTTGTTATAACACCGCACAGGAGTGACACAGAATTCATTCAAGGTACAAATTGACTTACCGACTTTGCCGGTGGTTGTCTTCATTGGTCGGTCACTTTTTAGCCGTGTGACATCGTGGTTTGCTCGGGTACAACCTTATACACACAGCTAGAGTCAAATGACTTGCGATCGGGGCTGAGTGAATAGGTCCGGAAATGTCGATGCTGAAATCAGACTGTGATGGATGTGGTGGCTTCATCTCTCAGCGATTGAACATATGCGTCTGACTTCATCCTGGTCTGACTTTGTTTATCTGAAGAAATGACGTGCAGTTATACCAGAGTTACGTCAGCTGCTCGAATGACGCACACGTCACCACAGACGGTGCCGCCATCTGGTGAGACAAGCAGCTTGTACGGTTTGCCGTACATATTGTGTTCTGAACTTGTACCAAAGGTAATACGCCTACAGCAAAGAATATGTCAACCCTACGGCCCACTAATGCATGCCCCGGTGAAGTATATCTAACTGTACGTAGTCTTACCGTAGCAGCTGTATGACACGAGTGAAACGTGCAACCAACTGGGACTGATTTCGTTTGAACTCCAGTGGGAACGACTTCCACCACATTCGGAAGCCGGAGGAAAATTATCCAGGCGCCTCATTGGAGCGAGCACGTTTTTGTTGACGCGCACAAAACATGCACGGAACCACAGGCACCCATACGTCGTCTATGATGCACTGACAAGAATAAATATATAGAAATGTGGGACAAACGCTGTTATGCTCTTCAACATAGCCCCAGTTTTGTTGCTTTATTTAGCTTAGCTTAGTGACGAATGGTAGCGTGAAACGTTCCTTTTTAGTACTCTAAGGAGCGCATGCATTCCAGAACATAAGTTAGTGTGTGCACTACGGCAACCCAGAGTTTCAGCATGTATCGAGATCCCGAAGGGATTGCAGCAGGCTACAGAGATACATGTTTGAACCATTTTTGTTGAGAAAGTTTGAAGCCCAACTATGTGTATATGAATGTGTTAGCCGTTCAATTCAAAGCATAGGGGCTACAAGTAAAATTATCATTAGCATGTATGATAAGGTGACCATCAGAAAGACCTTATTCATAAGCTCATTTTTAAGGCTCAGTAATTTCATAGCATTATTTTTTATTGATATAGCAATTATATGGACACTCTCTACTGGATTTTGCTACCTGCGTCGGCGTCGACGGCCGATGTCGTTCACCTTGTATGTATACTTATTTATATATATGAAAAACGCAACAAAAATATTCAGAAAAAGTCTCCTGCGCGCAGAATTGATAGTCGGACCTCTGAATTGTGAGTGCGAGGTTTAGTCACTCAGCCTAAAAGGAACACCTCCTTGAACGTTCAAACGGCAAGCTATATATCTACCACTTACCGCTGGTGATGGACATTTTGGGGATAACTATCGTGTTTTCAGCATTACCAGCCAGATGGCGCACTGGGCGCCCGTCGCCAGATCGTCACGACGTGGTGGGGCGCGCTATCATCTCCCACGCGTACTTTGCCCCGCGGAGAGGAGACGCTCATGCGTGCGCTCGCTTATCTCGCGGTTGGGACAATCGTATGCCTTGGGCTTTCACCGGAACGATTCTGTCGTAGTTACCGGGTACACAAAGGTAACTGCAATCGTTGCACAATCTACGTTTTGCGAAAAGGGTGTGCTTTTAAGACACAGTGAAGCATTTATCTTTATATGTTCATCGGTATATGTGAGTACGTTTCGTGCCCCACGAACGTGGGGCACATTTCGATTTGCTTGCCATTCTGTGCGTGACTTTTCCATTTGTAGCTATCACGTTCATTGCTTCGCCTCTGCAGCAAAGCTGTGAGCTTTTTTTTTTCTACGTACTTCTTAAATTACACACGGCTATGCGATACTTTTGTATTACTTTATTCAGCTGCACCTAGTTTGAAGTGGTCACCAGCCCACAGACAGATGTCTAGCTTAAATAGCTCCATCGTTATAAAATTCCTTTAGTATTAGTTAAGTGACTGCGCTCACTACCTGTTGGTAGTCGATGCATGGCGCTTATCTCATCAAAACGCTTAAGAAAACAGATGCACAAACTTTCACTTTTAGGCACGCCTGTAGCTTGTTCGAAATTCTCATGTGCTTTCAAGTTTCTGTTCATTGTATTGCTGCTGTGACGAAGGTGTTATAGTACTCGATAAATTTCGTATGCCGAAGTCCCTGAATGTCACGCTAGTGCATCGCAATGAAACAAGAGGTTGCCTTAGCGCTTGTAGCTTTCA